GGGCTTACCTATTGTTGCTAGATGTAGGGACTGTTTACCTATTTGTGTTAGATGAGGGTTACCTTTATTTTGTTGGGTAGGGAACTGGGCTGCTTTACCTATTGTGTTGTCTAGATGTAGGGACTGCTTTACCTATTGTGTTGTCTAGATGTAGGGACTGGGCTGCTTTACCTATTGTGTTGTCTAGATGTAGGGACTGGGCTGCTTTACCTATTGTGTGTCAGATGTGGGACGGGCTGCTACCTAGTGTGTTGTAAGTAGGGACTGGGCTGCTTACCTATTGTGTTGTCTAGATGTAGGGACTGGGACTGCTTTACCTATTGTGTTGTCTAGATGTAGGGACTGGGCTCTTTACCTATTGTGTTGTCTAGATGTAGGGACTGGACTGCTTTACCTATTGTGTTGTCTAGATGTAGGGACTGGGCTGCTTTACCTATTGTGTTGTCTAGGTTAGGGTTAGGGTTTGCAGCAGCACTATCTGTGATCATGTTAGCGATTTCCAGCTTTAGCTGAGACAACGAGCAAATCATTAGTTTTTACACCACATGAATATACACTGACGTCCCTAAAAGCACATTCACTCTGTCCAATTTGAAATCTAGTTGAGTAGTGGAGACCAGAGGCTGTCAAACCTGGCCTGTCTCTTGCGGAGGTCAGAAGTGAGCTTTTCAAGAGGAAGAAAGTCAACAATCTGGTCAATCCACATTTTAAATGTAGGAGAAGAATTAGAAGCCTGCAGCAGGAGAATACATTTCTTAGCAAAGTATGTGAAAGTCATAAACACATTTTCTCTGTTTGGATCAAGAACAAAGTCCTGCTGGACATTAAGAAGACAGAGAGACAGGGTTGTGGGTTCGATTCCCATGGGGGGCCAGTATGAAAAAAAAAAAAAAAATGTATGCACTAACTGTAAGTCGCTTTGGATAAGAGCGTCTGCTAAATGACTAAAAATATAAAATGTCATGTCAAACTGGACATCTAATATGTTCTGTGTAGCAGTAGGTATAGATTGAAGACAGAGACACAGGGTCATATCAAACTGGATGCATATAAGTTCCTTTCAGAGGTTCATCTTTTACAATCAGGAGAAATGTCTGTATTCATTCTATGAAGTCTCACTGAGTGGTATTTTTCTGAGCTGAAACAATAAGATGAATTTTGTTGTGTTGTAGCTCAAACAGAACAGATTTGTCCTCCTCTGAAAGGGTTAGGGTTAGGGTTAGGGTTAGGGTTAGGGTTATGTGGTGTTGTAGCTCGAACAGAACAGATTTGTCCTCCTCTGAAAGACTTTCAACAGGCTTTTGAACAAGAGAGGTGATCTTTGTAATTACACTTCCTTCTTCAGCTCTTCTTGTCTTAATATAATAATAATAATATGCCATTTAGCAGACGCTTTTATCCAAAGCGACTTACAGTCATGTGTGCATACATTTTTACGTATGGGTGGTCCCGGGGATCGAACCCACTACCCTGGCGTTACAAGCGCCATGCTCTACCAATTGAGCTACAGAGGACCACTTGGCAAGAATACTCCCATATTTTGTTAAATGTTTTTCCAACCTCATATTTAAGCGGTACCGGAGCACCAAGTCTAGGTCTAAAAGGCTCCTTAACAGCTTCTACCCCCTGTCACGCCCTGGCTCTGGGGACTCTAGTATGTTGAGCCAGGGTGTGAGTTTTCATTTGTTTATGTTCTAGTTGTTGTATATCTATGTTGGCCAGGGTGGCTCCCAATCAGAGACGGCTGTAGCTCGTTGTCTCTGATTGGGAGTCATACTTAGGTAGCCGTTAGGCATTCATGATTTGTGGTTTCTTGTTCGTATTTGGTTTGTGTATGACCATTGACTGTCACGTCATCGTTTTGTTGTTTTGATCGTGTGATCATCAAATTAAATAAATATGTTCACATTCAACGCTGCGCCTTGGTCCTCATCTCTCACCGACGATCGTGACACCCCCAAGCCATAAGATGCTGAACAATTAATCAAATGGCCACCCGGACTATTTACACTGCTGCTACTCACTGTTTATTATGTATGTATAGTCACTTTACCCCTACCTACATGTACAAATTACCTCGACTAACCTGTACCCCCACACATTGACTAGGTACCGGTACCTCCTGTATATAGCCTCATTATTACCTGGACTAACCTGTACCCCCACATTGACTAGGTACTGGTACCCCCTGTATATAGCCTCATTATTACCTGGACTAACCTGTACCCCCACATTGACTTGGTACCGGTACCCCCTGTATATAGCCTCATTATTACCTTGACTAACCTGTTCCCCAGCCCATTGACTTGGTACCGGTAGTCACTGTATATAGCCTCGTTATTGTTATTTTATTGTGTTACTTTTTATTTTATTTTTTACTTTACTTTATTTAGTAAATATTTTCTTAACTCTATTTCTTGAACTGCATTGTTGGTTAAGGGCTTGTAAGTAAGCATTTCACGGTAATGTCTACACCTGTTGTTTTAGGTGCATGTGACAAATAAAACGTGATTTGATTTGATGACCTTCCCTTTAAATGCACCTCTTAAAACTGCTACACCTGCAGAATGGTTGTTGCCATATGATAACCAGATATCCTGGTTGTTGCCATATGATAACCAGATATCCTGGTTGTTGCCATATGATAACCAGATATCCTGGTTGTTGCCATATGATAACCAGATATCCTGGTTGTTGCCATATGATAACCAGATATCCTGGTTGTTGCCATATGATAACCAGATATCCTGGTTGTTGCCATATGATAACCAGATATCCTGGTTGTTGCCATATGATAACCAGATATCCTGGTTGTTGCCATATGATAACCAGATATCCTGGTTGTTGCCATATGATAACCAGATATCCTGGTTGTTGCCATATGATAACCAGATATCCTGGTTGTTGCCATATGATAACCAGATATCCTGGTTGTTGTCATATGATAACCAGATATCCTGGTTGTTGCCATATGATAACCAGATATCCTGGTTGTTGCCATATGATAACCAGATATTCCTGGGTTGTTGCCATATGATAACCAGGATATCCTTGGTTGTTGCCATATGAAACCAGATATCCCTGGTGTTGCCAATGATAACCAGGATCATGGTTGTTGCCTATGATAACCAGATATCATGGTTGTTGCCATATGATAACCAGATATCCTGGTTGTTGCCATATGATTAACCAGATATCCTGGTTGTTGCCATATGATAACCAGATATCCCTGTTGTTGCCATATGATATAACCAGCTATTCCTGGTTGTTGCAATTATGATAACCCAAGATATTCTGGGTTGTTGCCCATTATTGATAACCAGCTATCCTGGTTGTTGACCTATTGATAACCAAGGATATCCTGGTTTGTTGCCATATGATTACCAGATTATCCTGGTTGTTGCCATTTGATAACCAGTATCCTGGTTGTTGCCATTATGATTAACCAGATATCTGGTTGTTGCCAATATGATTACACAGGATATCCTGGTTGTTGCCATATGATACCAGATATCCTGGTGTTGCCATATGATAACCAGATATCCTGGTTGTTGCCATATGATAACCAGATATCCTGGTTGTTGCCATATGATAACCAGATATCCTGGTTGTTGCCATATGATAACCAGATATCACCCCATTGATTTTTCCAAAATGCTAGATCGGAAGAACAAGCATGAGTCTCTTGTAGAATGTAAAAGTCTGCATTAAACCGTTTGCAATACAGGAAAATAGCCTTACGTTTTAGTAAATTACAAATACCCCTGACATTAATTGAACAAAGAGATAAAGACATAAAGTTCAACCAACAACCTTGTTATGCTATTATAAGCTTTTCCCAAGGATATGGAACACAAAAGGATTTACATCCCATTATTTAACCCCTCCAACAAAAAACTACAAAATACTGGTCATAAAGTTACCAAAGTAACAAGGGGGAGACATTGTGTAGACCTTACAATAAGCAGTTATTCACCAATAGTTAGTTTTTAGTTGACCAGTTTTCAGGTCAGCCTTTTCTCATTCAAGTTCACCTGGCAGTTAAGCAGTGTTTTGCCCTATCAGTTCTGTCCCAGTTAGACTCTGGCTCTCGCTCAAATGATCTGATTTGGCCGCATTTCTTTCCCATCGATGATCACTCTTGCACCAACAAAGAAATGCAGTTTTCCCTGCCTTTCGAGCTGCAGCCACCATCGGCCACAGTTTCTCCCGTGTCACTTTGTCCGCAGAGGTCAGATCCTCCGTGAACCTCCATTTTTGCTTGATGAAGAACTCCCAGTTCTTTGCTCGCCTCCAGAGAAGATCCCGTGTAGATCTGTTGGTGAACCGGATGATTGTTGTCCTTGGGACTCTTGTTTTGATCCTTGAGTCTTCCCAAATGATGAACGATGTTCACATTTTCCTGAAGTTTGGCTTTTGATTCGGGAATGACAGCTCCACAGATGTCAACAACTCTGGGTTTGATGTCCTCATTTAAAAAAAAGTAATTTTAGCAGACGCTCTTATCCAGAGCGACTTACAGTTAGTGAGTGCATACATTATTATAATTTTTTCATACTGGCCCCCCGTGGGAATCGAACCCACAACCCTGGCGTTGCAAACGCCATGCTCTACCAACTGAGCTACATCCCTGCCGGTCATTCCCTCCCCTACCCTGGACGACGCTGGGCCAATTGTGCGCCGCCCCATGGGTCTCCTGGTCGTGGCTGGCTATGACAGAGCCTGGATTCGAACCAGGATCTCTAGTGGCACAGCTAGCACTGCGATGCAGCGCCTTAGACCACCCGCCAGCTCTGGAATTCCATGGAGCCTCAGGTTCCACCTGGTATCTCTCTGGAATTCCATGGAGCCTCAGGTTCCACCTGGTATCTCTCTGGAATTCCATGGAGCCTCAGGTTCCACCTGGTATCTCTCTGGAATTCCATGGAGCCTCAGGTTCCACCTGGTATCTCTCCGCATCATTCACCTTTTGCTCGAGTTCAGCCACCTTCTGTTCATTTTCCTGGCAGATAACTTCCACCTTCTTCATGTCACTTTTGAGGGTTTTCACTTCTCCAGAGATAAAGTCAACAGATTTGTTTATGGCCTCAGTTTTCATGGTATTCCTCCTAACCATGTCCTCCAAGCCATCTGCCCTTTCATCCATTTTAGCTGTCAAAAGCATCACAATATTGTTTTGCATCTCAAGAAGTGACATGCCCTCTTGCCCTCATCTTTATCCCCTGGGGCTTGACTGGAGTGTCGGGGTCGTAACGTAATGGCTTGAGCTGGTGTTGTATCTAAAGAATTATGCTAATCTTTGCTGTGAGACCAAGGAGTCCGCTTACACTGTACTTTGATTATAAAGGTTTATTTATATCACAAGATTTCAGCATAAGTTTACAGACGTCTGCAGGCATCTGGAGACCAACGACCCAAAATAATAAGTTGTTCTGACCTCCTTTGTCTTAACTGTGGTATTTATATCCTATGCCCTATGTAACATAATATGGGTGTTTTCCCATAAACCAATCCCAGGACTGCACCTAACAGACTCCCTCGCCTTTAGGGTGCCCCTATAGAGCTACTCTCCAGATGCTCCCCTTAAGCTGAGTCAACATCCTCTAAAACCACTTGAAACCATTAGCAAAGTCATAAAGTGTTTAAACACTACACTGGGGAATGGTTGGGCGCAGGTTGTCAGCATTGTTGTCCGTGCACACCACATTTTCATCACCCACAGCAGTATTTCCCCCACAGTTACATTCTGAAGAGGAGTACCCAAGACCAAACCACCTGTTAATTGTCCATCTGATGATTTCTCCGTTTCTTTTCTTTTGGTTCTGGTCGTGGAAGTTTCCATGTAGACAAGCTAGTTTTTGAGCTAGCTGATCTGGCTATCTAGTGTTGTCGCTAACTTAAGAGTTTTAGAGGTGAATAACTTGCAGAAAGTAATCAATTACTTTGGTAATCAAACTCAATCATATTCATACAGGGTTTTATGACCTTAGAAATGACCAAATGGTCATATATGGGCATCTGCACTGATCGCCATCTTGCATGCGCCCCGTAATGGACAGTTATTTCACCTGTTTATTTTAATACCACGGCCACAGCAGTTAACCTGTCAATAAGCGCGTGCCCGCACCCTTTTAATACCACGGCCACAGCAGTTAACCTGTCAATAAGCGCGTGCCCGCACCCTTTTGTATTTTTGCCTACTGAAGAAGTTTTGCACCACAACCACCACAACAATGACCTCTTGTTTCTTGGCAACTAGCTAAGGCTATCTTACAGTGTGGTGATAAAACGATACGCATCTGACATTCACAATGTTCTCAATCTCCACTATTTCAGGTTGTGTGTTGATGTCACAGAACAACCGGAACAGAACAGAGCTGAAGATTAGATGGACGGGTATGAAGCAGCAAATCATTACTTAAGTCACCGTCTTTAAAAGTGTTAAATCAGTTAAAGAAGATGCCTAAACTCTAATCTAGGGGAAACCCTGACCACGCCCCTCCAGGTTAGCAGGTGAGATGCTGAGTGGTGGCCGGGCGTTGCTAGGCGACGACAGCTCGGTCATGGCCCGCATGCAGAAGAAGTTCTGGAAGACGAAGCAGGTTCTGATCAAGGCCACAGGGAAGAAGGAGGATGAGTACGTGGTGGCTTCTGATGCCGACCTCGACGCCAAGCTGGAGGTAGGACGCTGACCTCTAACCTCTAACCCTAACGTGGTGGCTTCACCCACTGTTAAACCCCTAACCCTAACGTGGTGGCTTCACCCACTGTTAAACCCCTAACCCTAACGTGGTGGCTTCACCCACTGTTAAACCCCTAACCCTAACGTGGTGGCTTCACCCACTGTTAAACCCCTAACCCTAACGTGGTGGCTTCACCCACTGTTAAACCCCTAACCCTAACGTGGTGGCTTCACCCACTGTTAAACCCCTAACCCTAACGTGGTGGCTTCACCCACTGTTACTCAGTCAGAGAGAGTGAGAGTCTCAAGCGTTCTGTTTCCTATCCAATTCTCTCTCTGTGTTACTAACTGTTGTCTGGATCAGAGTAGAAGAGGTCTGCAGTTCTGTCTGTATAGTACATTAGCAGGTATAACAGGAGGTCTGCAGTTCTGTCTGTATAGTACATTAGCAGGTATAACAGGAGGTCTGCAGTTCTGTCTGTATAGTACATTAGCAGGTATAACAGGAGGTCTGCAGTTCTGTCTGTATAGTACATTAGCAGGTATAACAGGAGGTCTGCAGTTCTGTCTGTATAGTACATTAGCAGGTATAACAGGAGGTCTGCAGTTCTGTCTGTATAGTACATTAGCAGGTATAACAGGAGGTCTGCAGTTCTGTCTGTATAGTACATTAGCAGGTATAACAGGAGGTCTGCAGTTCTGTCTGTATAGTACATTAGCAGGTATAACAGGAGGTCTGCAGTTCTGTCTGTATAGTACATTAGCAGGTATAACAGGAGGTCTGCAGTTCTGTCTGTATAGTACATTAGCAGGTATAACAGGAGGTCTGCAGTTCTGTCTGTATAGTACATTAGCAGGTATAACAGGAGGTCTGCAGTTCTGTCTGTATAGTACATTAGCAGGTATAACAGGAGGTCTGCAGTTCTGTCTGTATAGTACATTAGCAGGTATAACAGGAGGCTGCAGTTCTGTCTGTATAGTACATTAGCAGGTATAACAGGAGGCTGCAGTTCTGTCTGTATAGTACATTAGCAGGTAAACAGAGGTCTGCAGTTCTGTCTGTATAGTACATTAGAGCAGGTATAACAGGAGGTCTGCAGTTCTGTCTGTATAGTACATTAGCAGGTATAACAGGAGGTCTGCAGTTCTGTCTGTATAGTACATTAGCAGGTATAACAGTAGGTCTGCAGTTCTGTCTGTATAGTACATTAGCAGGTATAACAGGAGGTCTGCAGTTCTGTCTGTATAGTACATTAACAGGTATAACAGGAGGTCGCAGTTCTGTCTGTATAGTACATTAGCAGGTATAACAGAGGTCTGCAGTTCTGTCTGTATAGTACATTAGCAGGTATAACAGGAGGTCTGCAGTTCTGTCTGTATAGTACATTAAGACAGGTATAACAGGAGGTCTGCAGTTCTGTCTGTATAGTACATTAGCAGGTATAACAGGAGGTCTGCAGTTCTGTCTGTATAGTACATTAGCAGGTATAACAGGAGGTCTGCAGTTCTGTCTGTATAGTACATTAGCAGGTATAACAGGAGGTCTGCAGTTCTGTCTGTATAGTACATTAGCAGGTATAACAGGAGGTCTGCAGTTCTGTCTGTATAGTACATTAGCAGGTATAACAGGAGGTCTGCAGTTCTGTCTGTATAGTACATTAGCAGGTATAACAGGAGGTCTGCAGTTCTGTCTGTATAGTACATTAGCAGGTATAACAGGAGGTCTGCAGTTCTGTCTGTATAGTACATTAGCAGGTATAACAGGAGGTCTGCAGTTCTGTCTGTATAGTACATTAGCAGGTATAACAGGAGGTCTGCAGTTCTGTCTGTATAGTACATTAGCAGGTATAACAGGAGGTCTGCAGTTCTGTCTGTATAGTACATTAGCAGGTATAACAGGAGGTCTGCAGTTCTGTCTGTATAGTACATTAGCAGGTATAACAGGAGGTCTGCAGTTCTGTCTGTATAGTACATTAGCAGGTATAACAGGAGGTCTGCAGTTCTGTCTGTATAGTACATTAGCAGGTATAACAGGAGGTCTGCAGTTCTGTCTGTATAGTACATTAGCAGGTATAACAGGAGGTCTGCAGTTCTGTCTGTATAGTACATTAGCAGGTATAACAGGAGGTCTGCAGTTCTGTCTGTATAGTACATTAGCAGGTATAACAGGAGGTCTGCAGTTCTGTCTGTATAGTACATTAGCAGGTATAACAGGAGGTCTGCAGTTCTGTCTGTATAGTACATTAGCAGGTATAACAGGAGGTCTGCAGTTCTGTCTGTATAGTACATTAGCAGGTATAACAGGAGGTCTGCAGTTCTGTCTGTATAGTACATTAGCAGGTATAACAGGAGGTCTGCAGTTCTGTCTGTATAGTACATTAGCAGGTATAACAGGAGGTCTGCAGTTCTGTCTGTATAGTACATTAGCAGGTATAACAGGAGGTCTGCAGTTCTGTCTGTATAGTACATTAGCAGGTATAACAGGAGGTCTGCAGTTCTGTCTGTATAGTACATTAGCAGGTATAACAGGAGGTCTGCAGTTCTGTCTGTATAGTACATTAGCAGGTATAACAGGAGGTCTGCAGTTCTGTCTGTATAGTACATTAGCAGGTATAACAGGAGGTCTGCAGTTCTGTCTGTATAGTACATTAGCAGGTATAACAGGAGGTCTGCAGTTCTGTCTGTATAGTACATTAGCAGGTATAACAGGAGGTCTGCAGTTCTGTCTGTATAGTACATTAGCAGGTATAACAGGAGGTCTGCAGTTCTGTCTGTATAGTACATTAGCAGGTATAACAGGAGGTCTGCAGTTCTGTCTGTATAGTACATTAGCAGGTATAACAGGAGGTCTGCAGTTCTGTCTGTATAGTACATTAGCAGGTATAACAGGAGGTCTGCAGTTCTGTCTGTATAGTACATTAGCAGGTATAACAGGAGGTCTGCAGTTCTGTCTGTATAGTACATTAGCAGGTATAACAGGAGGTCTGCAGTTCTGTCTGTATAGTACATTAGCAGGTATAAACAGGAGGTCTGCAGTTCTGTCTGTATAGTACATTAGCAGGTATAACAGGAGGTCTGCAGTTCTGTCTGTATAGTACATTAGCAGGTATAACAGGAGGTCTGCAGTTCTGTCTGTATAGTACATTAGCAGGTATAACAGGAGGTCTGCAGTTCTGTCTGTATAGTACATTAGCAGGTATAACAGGAGGTCTGCAGTTCTGTCTGTATAGTACATTAGCAGGTATAACAGGAGGTCTGCAGTTCTGTCTGTATAGTACATTAGCAGGTATAAACAGGAGGTCTGCAGTTCTGTCTGTATAGTACATTAGCAGGTATAACAGGAGGTCTGCAGTTCTGTCTGTATAGTACATTAGCAGGTATAACAGGAGGTCTGCAGTTCTGTCTGTATAGTACATTAGCAGGTATAACAGGAGGTCTGCAGTTCTGTCTGTATAGTACATTAGCAGGTATAACAGGAGGTCTGCAGTTCTGTCTGTATAGTACATTAGCAGGTA